GCACTAAAACTTTGTACGAATCACTTTTATTGAACATGTTTCCATTGCAATGAAAACTTGGTTGATCTCCTAAAGTATTAACCCAAAAAGCACTTGGTCAGGTTTGGCACCCACTCACTGATTCCTTTTGGGAAACTCATTTTTCAATCCTTCCAAAGGCAGGTTAAATATTAGTCTTTAAAATTTACACCAGTTCAAAAATATATTATTAATTGTTCCTTGTATTGTTAGTTGTTTGTATCCTTTTCCCTACTGACTATCTGAAGTAGCATGCCACTGGATCATTTAGGAATATAACAGAAGAAAAACATAAAGTAGAGAAAATAATTAGGAGATGATCTAGATACTGTATTCATCATTATCATTAGAAATGGGTTCTTAAGACAAGAAAAGGCAATAGTGTGTTTGTGACTGCTATGCACAATTCCCTTAATGACTTATCTTACCTACTTGAATGTAGTTTTAGATTAAAAAAAAATAAAATAGGAAGCTGGCCTAGGTCAAAGCAAAGTGTCAATTTTCAACTTTCTTTTTATTGACAAGAATGCTTCTGGGGCCAGTAGCATCCACAAAAGGATTCAAAAAAGTCAAGATGTTTCTGCAAATGTGTAATAGAAGCTCCATCCTTTTGTACCTAGGCACAGTGTCAACACAGATACAAAAGGGGAGGGAGGCTTCAATTGTGCCATCACAATCACCATCTTGACTTTTTTATCCATCCTCGCAGACACCCTTGCCTGAGCCACGCATAGGTTCCAGAAGCATTCTCATAAAATGCATTGTGCATTATTGACCATATGTCCCTTTCCCTCAAAACAAAGAACCATTAAAAAAAACAAAAAAACCACAGATATGTAATGGTGTGTGGAGAACAACTTGGAGAGTAGGGGTTTGTCTACAGCAGTGTTTCTCAACCTTGGCGACTTTAAGATATGTGGACTTCAACTCCCAGAATTCCCCAGCCAGCATGCCAGTCAGCATCTGGGAGTTGAAGTCCACATATCTTAAAGTCGCCAAGGTTGAGAAACACTGCTCTACAAGATACGTGTGACTGTATGACAAATGACAACTTCATCATTCTGCTCCATTTTGCAACAAGTCAAAAATACCCAATCCAACCATTTTCTGAGAATTCTCACAACATACTCTCAAACTTCCATATATGCCAAATGACTAAAGATATTGCTGCCTCCTGTTTTACTAATTTTATCCAAGCATTACCTAGAATAATGGAGGACACAAGATTTACAACACAATTTATTTAAAATTAATAAACGTTGGCTTATAATAACATCTGCTTACCATGCTGGCAGTAAGGAAGGCTTTTAAGAAATCCTATTTCTCTGATAATCCCAGTGTGGCTCACACAGCTAAAGTGGTTTAGGAGCCATCCAGGACATTTAATCTTTGTTAGATTGGTGTCCAATAAATAGATCTAATAATGCTAAAAAGACCATAGCACACTGCATAAACAGATAATTAGAGATAACATTCCTTCCTTATTATCTTTCCAATGCTGTTATGTGTAACCAAGATAGTCTGTTTATTTAAATGCCATCAAGATCAAAGAACTAAGAGCTTGGATCAGTTTCAAGGTTTGGGTGCCTTATCCAATGTTCTGTTCCATGCAATTGTGCCAGTATAGTAGGCTCTAGGAGCCACTATTACACATACACTGTAACAGTTCAATGTTGGAGTTATTACTGAAACAACTCCTACAAGTAAAACAGGTTCCCTTGCTAGGCTTACATTGATCCTAAAACCATCTGTTAGACTGATGAAATATCTGAGCTGCAGGGCTGCTTCTACACAGGGCTTCCTAAATTGTTACATGGATCATTCCTGCAATATACAGTTAAGCATGAAGCTTCTAGCATGAATTTTACCAAGAGGAGGCAAATTATTGCCTTACTTTTGAAGATTTACTTAGTAGCACATTTCCCCCCCCCCTCCCATTGGGTCACATCTCCGCTCCCTACAATCCATAAGGTTCTTATGCATTCCACAATAATGCCATTTAATTATTGCAAAGCTTTTCAGATTTGTTTTCTATTTCTCTCTGTAAAACATAAAACTAAAGGTGTTACTTTATACAGTGTTACTTTATACCCTGTATACGACATACACAGTCTTCCAAAACTGAATTTCAAAATTTAAACAAAGGCATACATTGAAGGGGAGGGAGTAAAAAAAAGTCAAGATGGTAATTGCAATCATGTGATTGAAGCATTGCCCCTTTTTAATGTGTTTTGCATGTGTTTTGCATGTTTCAATCACGTGGTCACAATCATCTGACTTTTTGGCATACCCCCCCCTCCAGAGATGCCTCTGAATTTAAAATGGTAGGAAATTCAGTTCCTGCTTTCCTGTTAATGTGCACTTTGGAACTTCTAGCCAATTTGTTCTGATTTACTCTGCCAATATTATTAAAAAATAAGAATATTAGATTCAAAGTTAAAGAATAGTTATATCTCCTACTTTCGATCAGGAAACCATGCCTGTACATCAACCAGATTAGAAAGTCATGAAAGTGTTGTCTTAATGCAGCCTTCTCCAAGCTCCAAGGGTTGCCCCATACTCTCAGAGTTTCTAAGCAATAGATCATTCCCATGTAGTCTGGGAACTGTAGGAACTGTAGTCTGTACATATTTGGAATGCTGGAGAAAGTTGGTCTAACATATAGGTTAGAGGCAGGTTTTACTTGTTGTTGTTGTTCAGTCGTTCAGTCGTGTCAGATTCTTCATGACCCCATGAACCATATTGCAGCAGGCCTTCACTACAGAGGGGTAATTGGACCTATTAAGGAAATAACCTTGGTAGCAAAATGTTGTGACCAACAATAGAACAATGATTTTAGGAGCTCCACAGGTACAACATCCAGAATCCAGAAATGAAACCCATACAATAGATACTGAATGCATAATACAGCAATTTTAACAGAATCTGCTGAAATAAACAAGGGCTTAAAGATGTGATTAAATGCTGGAAGTGTTCAATGGTGACATATAATGACTATGTGATCTGTTAAAAGGAAAAATCTTTTAAACTAATCAATCTCTTTCCATAACAATTTATGCCAATGGTTTTTAAGATGAACCCACCTCAGATGGGGGAGCTGACAACTATATCAGATGTGGATGCTGTACAGATAAATCTGCAGGGCTAGAAAATGGTGCTTTGAAGAAGTCCTCTAAAATATACATTTTCAGAAGATGTTAAAAAATCTTTTGCAACTCTTAAATAAGTACAGTCTACTAGCAATGTTTTTCTTCTCCATAGATGCTTCCAGACCAAACAATACTAGTCTATTTTAACCCTTTTGGTTCTATTAGAGATTTCTGAAAAAGAAAATTAAGTTTATATTTTTTTAACAATCTCAAAATATGTTTAAATCCTGTTGAAACTTAGTTTTACATACAGTACTTCTTTCAGATGATGAATGTATATTGGATCCTGTTTTTCTTCATCATCCTTATTTAAATGTTTAAAAGTATCACCATAAAAAAAACCACTTGAGGTAATACTTAGTACATCATGGGATCTTGAGATACCTGTTTTACGAAAGCTTAAGCACCAGACTATATTAAGGTTTATGTTTCTGAATTAGTAGGAAGGTTGGTAATGCATGTCCTTGCCTCTTACAGTTTGTAAACAAAGCATATTGAAATCGTCCATCTTTCCATTGTCTTCAAAATTCTAACCATTTTACAACATAGGGAATCATAGCAAAAGCAAAAACAAACAAAAAAAGTAAAGGATGACTTATTTTACTTCCCAGCATCTATAATGTCACAGCTGGTGGCAACACCTAACTCACCTTGTCTGATCTTAAAAAAGCCAGAATTGGATTTGCTTATTATTTGGATTGGAAGACATGAAGATATCCTAGGGCTATATACTAGACTGGGAAGTGGGGAAAAAAAAATGGAAGAAGGCAGTGAAAATCCATGTCAGCACTGTTGCCAAGAAAGCAACATTTACAGGCCACACTAACCTCAGGAATAAAGCTCAGCTCAAGAGAGATTTTACTTATGTAAGGCATACTGAGGTCTTAATGCAACTCGGGTATATCAATTTAATATTGTGAGATCATTATAAAATGAAAACTAAAGATAACATAAACAAAACATTTCTGGAAAATTTGGAGTTTAAGTAAGCTTAGATTGGCTTGATGCACACAATAATAACACAGAGGAAGCACTCTGCTTTCCACATATTATATACATTAGGACTACTTAAAACAAAAAAAGAGAAAAAAACCCACATAGCTTTCAAACTTGCCACCTTTGGAGAATTTTTCCACATCTAGTAAATTAAGACTGAATCTGGTAAATTAAAACATGGCAAATACTAATTGGCTTATAAATAAAACAAGCTCAATAAAATCATAGTGGGAGACTATTTAAAAAAAGTGTCTTACAGATCATGTAGGCTTGAAAGCAATAGGCAGCATACTATACATACTGTATATAACTCATGATTCAAACAATTGTTCAGTAATGTGTATGCAGAGCAACAAATTAAGTTCATTAATGGCTGACCTCAAGCAATAGGGACAAATGAAATCTTTGTGTACATCTCATTGCTGCAATCGTCAGCCATCATTATTCCAACAAATTTCTTAGGTCTGCCACAGAATTGTTGCATCCTGTATATGATTCTGGGATACTATGTTGTCCTCAGCCATTCCAAACAGAAAAGTGAGTAGTCCATATGAGCATCATTAACATCACCAGTTTGCATAAAAGAACATACTGGTATTTCTGCCATGGCTGGATACTGCAAGGAAGATTGTTCTGGAGAGTACAAGCTGTTTTTCAGGAAAGTTTGCTGAATGTGAGTAACTTTAGGAATGATTAACACAAGATGGGTTTCTAAGAAATTCCAACATATCTCCAAATGAATCATGATGACAACTTTCTATAGTTCATTAATAAAGCAGGCAGTCTGCTCTACAACAATTAGATTATATTCATTATAGCCATCTTGGGAATTTCTACCTTGATATCATGGGAGGTCCCGATATCTTCTATATCCTAGAACAATGGCAGCAGAAGAGTGATGTCCTGCTTGGGTCATCCTTATCAGTAAATTTGAAAGAGGTAATGGGCAGACAGGTCTCTGCAAGCATAAGAAAGGCAACTCAAAATTCTCCAAAATAAAAGAAAAAAGCAATGGTAAACCATTTATATATTACAGCCAAGGAAATTGTATGTAATACAATTTATTTGTGCACCAGATCAGAAGACCCCTAAGTTGGATAACAAGATTCCTTTAGTCACCAAATCCACGAGAAGGGCTGAAGTTGACAGCATGGCCAAATTAAAACCACAAAGAAGTTTGGTCACTGGTGTCAATATTAAAAGAGGAGTTCTTCATATTACGAAAACAGATTAAGCTGGAACAAGAAATTTGAGAAGCACAAACACAGAAAATTTGAAATTGTCCAAATAGAAATGAAGAGAACCAAACAGAATCTTTAGGAATAAAGTGGATTACAATCGTCCACTTTAACTGAAATGGATATATTGTTGAGGGCACGAGTTCATATGAAGGAAAGGAGTGACAGTGATACACAAAAGGGTCATCACAAACTATGACCTAATAAATAACCTAATAAATTACAGAAATTTATTAAAATTAATGGATATCAAGTAAATATCAGTGGTATGCCAATGTATGTCCCTGTTACACATATAATAGGCACAAATACTGTGGAACTCTGAGATTAATTGGAGGATGTGATAAATGCAATGCCATAAAAGGATGAAAATCTAAGATTAAGTGAAAAGTTAGTGGAGAAATCTGGAATCATGGGAAGATTTTGATTGGATAAACACAACAATTCAAGAAATAGGTTAATAGAGTTTTGCAAAGAGAATTCTTTCTTTATTGCCAACACCTGCTTCCAGCAACATAAATGTAGACATCACATGGTTATCAGATGAATAACACTGGAATCAAATAGAATGAATAATAGGAAACTGAAGATGGAGAAGTACAATCCAGTCAGCCAAAACAGTTTTCAGGTCCAGGCTGTAGAACAGACCCTAAAATATTGGTGTCAAATATATGGGTTAAACCTGAAAGATTAAAGAGAGAAGGTGTGCCAGCAAGGTATGCCCTGGAGAATATACAGTCAGAATATAAGATCAAAGTAAGGAACAGCTTTAGTATGCTTAATTTATGCAAAAATTAACTTGAGGTGCTATGGGAAGAGATAAGAGAGATTGTTAAAACTAAAGTGGAAAAAAAATTCCCAAATTTCAAAGATGAAAAGATCCAAGTGGCTTTCAGAACAAGCTAGCACGATAGCCAGGGAATCACAAAAGTTCAAAGCCTTGGGCAACAAGAAAGATGTATGACAACTGAACACAGGCTTCCAACCTCATGCAAGAAAGGACAAGGAAAAGTATTTCAATGAGGAATGTCAACACATGGAAGTGTATAAGAAGAAAAGGGAAATGAGGCATCTTCTAAGAAGATCAGAGAAATCCTAGGACACTTTGCAGCTAATACTGAAATTCTCAAGACAAAACATAGCAGAGATCTGATTAGAGGAAAAAAACTACACTGAACTCTTTACTCTTTTGTGGAGAGACAATATATTCAGGAACTGATTCCACTGAAAAGTGAGGCATGAGACTCAATAGACCAATGAGAGAGAGAGAGAGAGAGAAAGTGTAAAAGGCAGGGTATGAATGAACTAGCGTATGGATATGAGAGAATCAAAGATAGTTTGGAAGGACAAAAATGTATAGAGAGGTATGGTGAATGGTATTGGTGTAAAATAGATTCAGTTAGATTTCCTTTTCATTTCTCTTACCTCCTGGACTTATTTAACTTATTTTGCCTACTACTTTTTCCCTGCCCTTTATGTAACACTGCTTACTCCTAAAAGAATAGAGCATTGGTTATTTATGTATGTGTCAAACAGAAAAGTACCAGTCACAGAGGATATAACCCCTGAATTATCTTAAGCTAAAAAAGAAGGAGCTCTATACCAACAAATACAGAACAAGATTCTATGGCCTAGAGATTGGAAAAAGGTTGATGTACATATCTATATTGAAAAAGAAGAACTGCACAAGAATGTGCAAATTACCAAACCATTGTATTAATTTATTATGCAAACAAAGTTTTGTTTAAGATCTTGCAAAAAAGAATAGAGCAATACATGGAGAGAGAAATGCCAAATGAACAGGCACGTTTTAGAAAAGGAACAAGAGTTCAGATAGCTAATTTAAGGGAGATAATGAAGACAGTAATATGATACAAGAAAGAGATTTACCTTTACTTAATTGAGTATAGCAAACATTTGACTATATAGATCATGTCAGAATATGGAATATATTAAGGATAATGAGGAGTACCCTAATACCTAATTATTTTTTTTCTGGAGGAAGTTTTACAATGAACAAGAAGCTACTGTAAGAACTTAATTTAGAGAAACATAGTGGATTAAAATATGAAAGGGATATTATAAGAATGACACAATTTGAGCAGATGATAGCTAAAATTAAAACTGAAGCTCAAAATGCTAACAATTTCAGATATGCAGATGACACCTCTGTTGCAATAGAAGAAAATATATGCAGCTCAGGGTTGAACTGTGGAGTTCTTAGCACTCTCTGAGTTTGGTTGTTTGCTTGCAGACATTTCATTACCCAACTAGGTAACATCATCAGTCTGTAATGAAATGTCTGCAAGCAAACAACCAAACTCAGAGAGTGCTAAGAACTCCACAGTTCAACCCTGAGCTGCATATATTTTCTTCTATTGCAACAGAGGTGTCATCTGCATATCTGAAATTGTTAGCATTTTGAGCTTCAGTTTTAATTT